CGCGCTGGCTGTTGTCACCCTGTTGATGACGTCAGCAACGCGGTTTAATCGGGCGCGCTTTAGTCAAGCGCGGTTTTGTCATGCCACACTCTTTTTCAACACGTTGTGGCCTGAGATGGTTTGATTTCTGTGCTGGATGATTCTTTTATCGAAAGATCGGGCATCCACGAGTCAAAATTAAGTGGTTAAAAACCCTGTGTTTGACGCTCGGATTTTATTAGAATCAAAAAGTGTGAATTGCTCTTTCGGATAATAAAAGTAACATGGGAGAATGAGGCTAACTAGGGTTAAAGGAGGAATATACTTGGTTACAAAGTAGGATTTTATTTTACAAAAGGAGAAAAAACGCTGGTATCTGGTCAGATTGGGACAGGTTCCGTTATCCCAGTGTTTCTCAACCTTGGTCCACCTGAAGAGGTGTGGACTTCAACTCCCAGAATCCCCAGTCAGCTGTCTGGGGAATTCTGGGAGTTGAAGTCCACACATCTTCAGGCGGGCCAAGGTTGAGAAGTGCTGCGTTATCCATTTAAGACCCATCTTCAAAGGAAAGATATTTTATTTGTTTTTTTCCCCTCTTCTTTCGTTTTTCCAAATTTCTAGCAGGTGCTATAAATCGCAACTTTCTGACTAATCGCTTGCAAAAGGCCTCGGACGGTTTCTTCCAGCTCTATTACTTGTTTAGCTTTGTCTTCCAAGATTTTTTGGTTTTTTTCATACGTGTCTTCCAGTTCTGCAAAAAAGGAGAGAACACGGAGCATTTTAGCAGCGACTAAATTCACCCAGATAGCAATCGCAACGGCGCTTAGACTTCTATACCCCTTCACAATGCTTCACAGACTTCCCTAAGTGGTTTACAAAGTCAGCCTGTTGCCTCCCCAACAATCTGGGTCCTCATTTTACCGACCTCGGAAGAACGGAAGGCTGCGTCAACCTTGAGCCGGTCGGGATCGAACTGCTGGCAGTGGGCAGTCAGCCTGCAATACCGCAGTCTAACACTGCGCCACCACAGCTTAGATAGCAATAGAATAGCACTTAGACTTATATACTGCTTCACCGTGCTTTTACAGCTCTCCCTAAGCAGTTTACAGAGTCAGTCTCTTGCCCCCCAACAATCTGGGTCCTCGTTTTACTGACCTGGGAAGGAGAGAAGGCTGAGTCAACCTAGAGCTGGTCAGGATCGAACTCCTAGCAGAATTAGCCCGCAATACTGCATTCTAACCACTGTGCCACGCAGCTTCGATAGCAATAGCACTTAGACTTATATACCGCTTCATAGTGCTTCACAGCCCATTCTGGGCAGCTTACAGAGTCAGTCTATTTACCCCCAACAATCTGGGGCTCCTCATTTTAACGATCTCAGAAGGATGGTAGGCCGAGTCAATTTTGAGTCCCATCAGGATCTAACTCCAGACTGTGGGCAGAGTCAGCCTGCAATACAGCATTCTAACCACTGCGCCACCACCAGCTCTTTCAAGCATCTTTCTCCCTGTGCTTTGGCTTCATTAGAGGAAAACAACCCAGCTCCCTTTGATGGTGGATGTTTTGCATCGCTAAAAAAGCCAGATGGCAGAAAAAGAAGACTTTCCTATAATTGAAAACAGTCTTTTTATTAAAAAGAAAGAAAGAAAGAACAAGAAAATGGCAACACCTTTCCACTCAATGCATACCTTTGAGAAGCTGAAGTTTGCTGTTTGCTTGCTCTAACAAAACCTTCGCTTCGTTTTGCAGCTCTTCCGCCTTCTTCCTGGCGCTGGCAGACTCCCCTGTTTTCTTGGCAATTAAGTTTTCTACTGTTTTGTATTTCTCATTGACGCTGTCGTCTAGTATCTATAATTTGAGAGAGAAAGACAGAGCGTTAAGGAAGAGAGAGGAATAGAAAAAGAAAGTGTAAGAAAGAGAGGAAAAGAGAGAAAAAGAAAAAGGGGAAAAGAGCAAAAGGAGGAAGAAAAGGGAGAAAGAAAAGAGAGAGAAACGGAGAAAGTGTAAGACAGACAGGTACAGAAAGAGAAAGGAAGGGAAAAAAAGAAAGCAAAAAAAGAGGAAAAGAGGGAGAAAGTGTAAGAGAGTAAAAAAGAGACAGAAAGGAAGAAAGCAAAAGAGAGCAAAAGAGGGGGGAAGTGTAAGAAAGCGAGTAAGAAAGATATAAAGAGAAAGGAAGAAAGCAAAAGAAAGAAAGGGAGAAAGAGAAAAAGAAGGAGAATGTGTAAGAAAGAGCGAGTAAAAAATATATAAAGAGAAAGGAAGAAAGCGAAAGAAAGGGAAAGAGCAAAAGAAGAGTGTGTGAGAGAGAGAGGGAGGGAGGGAGAGAGAGAGGGGTGGAAAGTGATAATATTCCCCCAAATGACTGGGGTATTCCTGCCTTTGGCTTAACATCCTTGCCTTTAAAAACAATTAGTCCTTGACTTCATTTTAAGGACTATTCACAGCAACAACAGACTTTTAAAAAACTACTTACAACCGGTCCTCAAAGTTGCTACTACCACCTTCTCCCTGGAGTTACCTTTCCCAATGCTTTTGGCAACCGACTTGCATTTTACAACCGGTTGCAGCCTTCCCAGGGTCACACGACCACAATTTGTGACTTTTCTGTAGGTTTATAGGGGGGGAAAAAACCACCACCACCGGCCATTCTAAAGAATCGGTTTGCTTAAGGACCACCTAGCTTGCTTTACGACTGCGGTGAGTCACTCTGTGACCCTCCTAAAAACAGTCGTCAAATTTGAGCCTAGTTGTATGGTGTATCACTAGTACAGTGATGGAGAACTATCACGTGAAAATGTCCCATGCCTGCAAACACACTTATTGAGGCCGCGCTCTGCAAAAGCCGGACTTCCGAGTTCTACGGCGTATGCACGCCTGGCAATCATCTGGCTGGTTCTCGGCACTGCTGCAGGCGACGGACAGCTGATCGTCGTGCAAGTGTGCGTGCCAGAAACCCAGAAGACAAACATGGAAGCAATAGCAATAGCAGTTAGACTTATATACCGCTTCATAGGGCTTTCAGCCCTCTCTAAGCGGTTTACAGAGTCAGCATATTGCCCCCAA